CTGGCCTTAGCAGTGAAGACTGAAGCAAAGGCGGCATTCAATAACTCTGCCTTCTCTACATCCTTTGTTATCAGGGCCCCCGCCCCATTCAGCGGCGGGCCAACATTAAACAGCGTGTTCACAGGTGACTATCTAATTGATATCCAGCAGGTAAGCTTCCATGTGATAAATTAGAAATTTCCTTAATTACGTCCCTGTCACAATTCTTCAACTTAATTCTGTTTGCATTTATTCTTCTTCTTAGTAGTTCTCATTCTCTGAAAGCTACTATGTCTTACTTGTTTTTGTGTAAATGAAACAAAAGTCTGTGGAGTCCCCAGGTGGTCGAAGGAAAGAGGGTCCTTGAGGCAACAGTTTTACTGTTTCCATTTCTTCCCTAAGGGCCAAGCAAAAGGAGTCCCCAAATTTAAGGGCTGACGTGTGGCCTCATGAATATATCCCCCTTCCTTCCTGCTGCTGCTGCAAAGTAACAATGCTTTGCTTTGAAGCCTTACGCTTGGGAAGCAGTCTGCTTTCCGATTTATATCTTTTCACTTTAAAGTCATTTTCTATAACTGTAACTAGCTTTTAAGACCTTTCCTTCCCACAGATCTGCCTTGGCTTTGTATATCATGCTTCTGCTTTCCTTGTCCGCTATCAAAGAATTTATCGCGGAGCCCTGTGACTTGCAGCTTTTGATGGTGACGGTGTCTTGCTGTGCTTTGCTTAGCGTTTGGCACTTCTCTAATCCGAGGCAGGTTCAGCTCTTTGCGTGATGGGTTTTGCTGGCTAGAGGAGGAGGTTAGCACAGCCTTGGGCGTTTCCGTCTTCCTGAATTCTCTAAAGTTTTCATTTGTCTAATAGGCTCATTGCATGCTGCTAATGCTGGAGCAAAACCAGATCTGAACCTTGCATTAAGCATTTCAGTAAGAGACATGAATCATTGGATAAAACATAATTAAATGGAAATGCATCTCTTTATTGGAGGTACAAGTCTTGGAACTTGTCTGCTGAAGAAGCTGATTTGAATTAACTCTTAACTAGATTAAACTTGTGCAGGTCTTTTCTTTAAAAAGTCAGAAACTAGAGGATTTTTTTTTTAAGACTTTCTTCGAAAGTGCATTAAGGTCACTTCAATTCTGAATAGAGGAGCTTGAAGGCAATTTAATTCAGTTTAACACTGTAGCATTCATTCATACATTTGTGAATGTGCTTGCATAGATGTCGCAAATGTGTTGGATAATTCTTTCCCCTCCGTGTAGGTAGATTATGTCATCTTCTCTGGGCACCTGAGGGCAGGAGGAACTCATCCGGTAAGAAGAAGAGGTTAGTGAACGGCAGAGCTGAACCCAGCAGGCTGGAAATGGGAAGCCTTCAGAGAGAGAGAAGTCGCTCCTTGTGCGTGGAGTGCAGCGTTAAGCAAAACACAGCTGGGGTTTCCTTGAACAGAGCAGCAATTCTGTTATTCTCTGAACGGAGCAAAATGAAATTGCTCCAGACTTAAATTGTAGCTAGTGGCAGTGGGCAGTAAACTAGCAATGGATATGGCACGTAGTAAAAGGGCTGCCTGGGAGGAGATGAGTAGCCGGCCGTGTCGTCCTTTCAGTCTGTCTCCGTTGGTCGCTTGCAAGCATCTGTGTACTAACAGCTCTGGCTTCTGGTGCCCTTTCTGTACGTCTTGGAAATATCTGGAAAAGATTAATCTCTGTGCTTAATGTCTCCATCGCACTGTCTCAAGGACCCACACGCCTCCAAGTGTTGACCCCTTTCTGTTGGACCTTAAATATTGTCTTGCAATTGTTCTGGGCTTTGTTGCAGTCAGGGGTCTTCCCCTTTTGATTTTGAATGGTGAGTGGCAAAGAATGCCTCCCTGTTTTTAAGTATTTATTTTGTATGAATTGTGTGTCTTACTCTTTAAGCTGTTTCCTTTATGTAAAAGCAAGCTTATTCGTCCCTCTTCGCTCTGGAAAATTCTCACGGCAGGAGTATAGCTGGAAGGGAATAGGATCTATAGTTAAAGTTATATTTGAACTCTTAATTCCTTAATCCCTATTTAATTTGATATGTGACTGAACTAAAAAAAAACCCTTCCGTCCTCCGCAAATATATGCATCAGTGCTCCTAGTCTTCCACTGGAGAATTAAGCTCCCGTTTCAGTTTTCTCAGGTCTTCTCTTTGGAAACCTTCAGGGAAAATACAGAAAAAAAAACGAGCTGGATGAGCTTCCTTTGGCCAAGCGTAGACCTGTGAGCCCTTCGTCAGGATAGACTGCGGAGGGACATGAGTACTTCTTTGGCACAACTTTTGTTTGCAGACATCCATCAGGTGAACCTTTGAAGCTCGTTGCATCTGTTTAATAGCTTAATCTACCGCTGGGGCCAGGAACCTCCTGGCTGCTGCTCTTCGTACGTGTAGTGGACCACCGCTTCCAGGTGCTAAGGCGCTCTCCGCTGTTGGTAACTGATAGTGCTAAGCCGTCTGAATAGATGAACTGGAGCCTAAGGATTTTTCCATTAATTCCTTAGCTTTATTCCCCTCTCCTTCAGTTAGTGCTTATTGGTTTTCTAAGTGGCGACTGCTGTGAGATGCAATTATTACTGGAAGCAATCCAAAGCCGTCAAAACGTAGCCACAAGGTGTTTGTTTGAGCCCTATAGAGCAGCTTAATTTTCCACAAGGATTGGAGCTTAAAGCAGCGGCAGACTGGGAACATGATTAAGCACATCTGCTTGTATTGAGTTAAAATCCGTTATTCAGTCTGGGCAAATCGTTTATTTTGCCCTTTGTGTAGGAAATATGCTTGTTGCCTCATTTGTTATTAGTCGGTGGGTCTGATTTACTGCTGCTAATTGTAGTAACAGGCTCTAAGAAGAAAACACTGGTCCTAATTGGACGCTTCAGTGGGTCCTCTTCCATCCTAAAAGTCTGCAAAAGAGCCGTGAGAGTGGGTGGGTGGTGAAGATCACTGGTTTGTTTGGGTGAGGGGATCTTTTTTTTTGATTTTTGGTCTTCGTTGTCAGCGTGACTGTCATGGGGGTGTGATAAGCAGAAAAAGGTGCTTGCAAGGGTGATGGTTACTTGTTGAAATTGTACAGTTTAGGGGAATGCTATGTAGCCTTCTCAAAACAAAGGTTTGAGGTACCTAACCAAAACACTCGCTATTGCGTAGAAAAATTTTTGAAACACCTGGTCTAGCCAGTTTGAAATGCTCTACCTGTGCCTCTGTTCAGGGACCTGATCCCTGGCTGTTCCTTTCATCATCCTCATTCGCTATGGGGTCCCGTGTCTTACTAAAGGAAATGATCCATCTCTGGCGCTGTGCTAGTCTCTTGCTGTGCACTGAATTAAACCAAGCTGGGAATTGCTTTTTGCTCGCTTGTTTATTGTCAGCTGCGACTTCAAACTGCCGTCGTCCGACAAGAATCTCGCTGTTTAAGTTGTTTTCCCGGACTGTGGCTTCAGCCTTTCAGGAAGGTTAAAATGAGACGGGGCTGCTGCTGTGCCAGCCCTGAGGCAGTTCTCTGCTTTGTTTTTGTTCTCGAGATACTCCTTATGTTTCGGCTGCAAGCTCGACTGGCCGTGCAGAGCGATGCCCTGGTCCTCTAGGGCAAGAGCGGATCCGGGACCTTGAGAAAAGCAGGCACAGGGAGCGTATCTGATCCCGGGTCTGTGACAGCCCTGGACTGCAGTAGCAAGCATCGCTGCCCCAGTGGCACGCGTGTATCTGTCTCTTTGCCTCTTTCGGTTGAGGTGTGAGCTCTTTGAATTGCCCACATCACCTGCCTTTATTACCACCGGCTTTTAGGGGACGGGCCAGGTAGGCAGAGCGCTTCCTTCCGGGAAGGCCTGCGGATGCCAGTTGTCATACTCTGCTTGCAGGCTCTTTGCTGAGTTCTCTGCTGCACTCCCTCCTGGTGCTACCACCTTTGTCTGTGAGCAGACTTGTACTTGCTGTATCAGACCTGCTTTGTATAACATTTAGGAAGCCCACCGGTGCCCAGGGTGAAAAAGCTCAGCTGCGTTACAAGTTGCTAAGAGCAAAAAAGAAAAAAAATAAGGGAAAAAGAGCGTGGTGGAGTAAGAGCAAATCATGACTTTTCTTCTTTGTTCCCAGTTGGCAGATTTAAATACAAACATTTTGGAACTGTTTCCTAAATGAAGTCGGCTGCACAGAATGCCTGAAAAGGGAATTTGAAAAATACCTTGGAAATACCTTTTGTGAAAGAGTGGTCGTGCGAAAGGCACAGAGCTGTTCAGGCAGGTCTGCTTAGCCAGGCGTGGTCCAGGGGCTGGAGCGGACATGAACACGATGGGGCACACAGAAAGGTTTTCCCCGTTCCTGCTCAGAGAGGTGAACCTGTCCTCACAGAGCAGTTACCTCCTGGCTGCAGGCATGTTTCCTTACTGTTAAACACCAGCTGCTCTTCTTGGAGGATCGCTACGGTGGGTGGACGCATTTCACAGAAGCTATTTTACCTTCTCTGTCTTCCTGCTGTAGGTCATAGATCTCCACCAGCGAGAAGTGGCCATCGATGTGTGGCAGATAATGCCAACTTGTATGTGTTTGGAGGCTACAATCCTGACTATGATGAGTCTGGTGGGCCAGAGAATGAAGACTACCCGCTTTTCAGGGAACTCTGGCGATACAACTTTGCTACGGACACTTGGCATCAAATGGGCACTGAAGGCTACATGCCCAGGGAACTAGCATCCATGTCACGTACGTATGGAAATTCAATTCCTATGCACTGACTCTTGAAGCTATTTTAATCAGTGTCCCTGGTGGAATGCAAAACCAGGCAAGAACTGGGAAATCAGGATCCTGCTCCCAATCCTTCTGCAACCGAGCCTTCAGTTTGGGTTTTTTTTTTTTATTCTATTTTATTTTTATCACCCCTTTCACTTGAGTTGAGGCAGAGAGGAAGAAAACAATTCAAATGCAAGTGATAGTTTTAGGGTATTTGGCTTGATCTTTGCAAGGACACTGCATTTTCAGAGGTTAGGTGTATATGCAATAAGGCATCTCAAAGCATCCAAAAATAGACCTCTTTGTTCACAAGCCATTTTTAAAAAGCAGGCCTCGGTTACCATGGCATTGAGCTTGCATCCTTCCACTTAAGGAGCATTTCAAGGCCATAAACGCGAAGTGTGAAGTGTAGGGTATTTGAACAATGTTGAACACTTGCTGCCTGCTCTTGCGAAAGCAGAGAGTCATTCTGTCTTACTGCGTCTCACAGCAACAAGTAACTCTGCTCTCTTTTTCTCTCTTAGTTGTATTGCATGGCAACAACCTGCTTGTGTTTGGGGGCACGGGGATCCCATTTGGGGAGAGCAACGGCAACGATGTCCATGTCTGCAATGTCAAGTACAAGAGATGGGCCCTGCTCAGCTGCCGGGGAAAGAAACCCAATCGAATCTACGGGCAGGTATGAAGCACAGCCCCTGTTAGGCGCTTTGCACACGCTTGCGTGCTTGTTGTGTTGTGGTGTCTGCAGAAGGGGCCTGAGCGCAAAGGTGTGTTCCCTATAGTAACTTGAGTTGTTCTCTGTATACATAAGGGTAAGGAAAGGCAGGTATCGTTCATAAAGTAGTAGACAGAGTAGTCTTGATTCTTTTGAGGTTTCAAAGAAAGGAGTAGTTTTCTCGTAGTTAGAAAAGCCGAAATTTGTTAACAAAATGTCAGATGCATTTAAATGAAGAGGTTAAGCTGTGTTTGGTAGTTTCCAGCTGTCCTCTGTGTCCTGAGCTGGTAGCCTCTTCAAAGCCCTTAAAATCCAAACGCGTAATATCAAAACAGTGTTTAGCAGGTCTTATTTACAGTAAAATAACCTTCAAAACTGTCCATAGCGTCTTGGCTGCGCATTGTGTCAAGTACAGCACAAAAAGCTAGATTCACTCTCATGGGAGGACTGCCAGCTTTTGCTGTGCTTTTAGATTGTACCGCGAACGTATCTGTGGTGCAGACCTTTACAGCCCCCCTAATTTCTCATGTAGTTGTGTGCCTGTGCTTGCCAAACACTTGGGCAGGGAGGGTAGTCTTCCCCTTTCTCAGCTCAGCCCTTGCTGGGCGTTGGCAAACAGGCAGTTGGGAGCAGGAAGTATCTGCGTCTCTGCTGCTGCCTCAGATTGCTTCAGGGAGCAGGTACCTGCACCACGTTCGCAGCTTTGGTGGGCGAATGCTTCGAGTGCTTCTGAACCGTACAGGCTGTCTCTTGTTTTGTCTGATTTGTCCCCTGTGCTCGGCGCTTTCTCTGTTAGGTTTAATTCTGCTGGCTCCCTGATAGCTAGTTGATAAGATTCTCCAAAGAAGTATCTGGGTAAGGTCACCGTAGCAGAGGTTCAGGGTTAGCTGTCCTTTCATTTTCGCTCTCGGGATCCCCTGCTGCACAGATCCATCTCTTCTGATGCCCTCAGTAGCTCCACTTGGATCGGCTGGCTCCTTGCTCAGGCTTGTCTCCTCTGTGACTTTTTTCTCTTTCTGCTCCAGTGTTAAGTTTCTTGTCACCTTTTTCAGGATTTTGTCCCTAATGCAATACTAATTTCGTAGTGGTTGCTCTGCTCTTCCAGGGAGTCCTGTCCTGTATCTCTCCTGTGTTCTCCAGGAGGCTTTGAACTCCCTTTCTGTCCCTTTTCCCCTTGCCTTTTAGAGCTCCCCACTTCTGGGGGCACTTTGCTTATGGAGGGCCCAGAGGAGCCTTCTGCTGCATCTGCTGGTGCATTGTGGGTCCCTCACTTAAAACGTCAGCTCCTGTTCACGAGGCTTGGGATCGGCCTGGCTCAGGGCTCAGTGCCCAGGTCATTGTGGATGATGGAGCATCGCTGAGGCTTACGCTAAGAAATCTCTCTGCTGGGTTTTGGAAGCTCTTTTTAGGGATGTTACTGTGGCCGTGACACTAGTCCTCCCGATGAGATTGAAAGGGATGGTTAGCAAGAGAGTTCTTGTGTATTAGAGTTGAAACTCTCCTCTTGTTTCCTTCCCCTTCCCTCCCTCTGTGGCTTTCTCCTCTAGGCTCCACTTATTTTTCCTACTGGGAGCTCTTTCTTCTTTCTTCCCTCTTCCTTCAAGTTTTTCATCTTGTGACGATGGAGCTACTTTCCGTTCCTACAGAATGCCTACACTAGGCTCTTTTGCGTATCTTTTAGGTTCAGCCTTCATGTTCCTTCTGAGCACATCATTTTGTAAGCTGTGGGTACAGCTTGCATGCAGGGTCTTGCTTTGGCGGGATGGAAAGTCTCTTTTTCAGACACTGGTATTACATGCCCTTTCTAACTGGCTTCTTTCCCTCACCTTTCAGGCTATGGCCATCATTAATGGCTTTCTCTATGTGTTTGGAGGAACAACTGGTTACACTTACAGTACCGACCTACATAAACTAGACCTTAACACTCGGGAGTGGATCCAGCTGAAACCAAACAACATGTCCTGTGATATGCCAGAGGAGAGGTGAGAACCTGCTTTTCCTAACGCTCCTGTGAGGTCTAGTTAGCCGAGCCTGAGAGAAGCCGCAATAAAAACAGCAAATGGACAGTGTGAGAGAGCTTTTACACTGGGGAGTCACGGCCTTTACTGGGAGTGAGAAGCTGAGGGAGCGCAGACAGGCTTACAAGCGCTCTTAAAGCAGTGTCTTTGCCTGTGAATTTTGCAAAACCAGTGCTCCAGCAGTCTGGCATGCAGGGGGATGTAGGGATAGGGTGTGCAGCCCTGAGCCAGGACACTGGTTTGTGATGCTAGAACAGAGCTGGAGACCAGGGCTGGTTGGTGAGTGCTGAGGAGGGGAAGAAGCTTCCATTGACCCCTGCCCCTTGTCTCATTCTGTTAACAAGGCATGGAGGAGGGAAGGCTGGGAGATCAGTCAGTGAGCGTGTTGGTTTAGTCTTGGGACAGATGGTGCCTTGCGCTCTTTATCGCCTCTTCCAGAGGGGAGTTTTTGGTGGGTGTTGGCTAAGGAGCTGGACATAAAGATTAAGGAAATCCTTGGCAGTTCTGTATTTCCACTTCCTGTGATCTGTCAGTGTTACCCCCCGACATGACTTCCCATACCATGGTCTTCTGTCTAGAATGATGACTTTGGGGCCTCTGATCTGCTTGGATAGAAAGAGCAGAGAGTGGGAGGAGGAGAGGAGGGCATGGAGTACTGAGGGCCGTTACTGGTGCTCCAGAGACTGTTGGGCTTGAGGTCTGTGATGCTCTGCTTTCAGAAAATGCCTTTCAAGCATCTGCGGTGCTGATAATGAAAGCTTCCAGACCTTTTGAAAAATCCTAACCTGAGGGACTGATTCAGCATAGCCAAGCTTGGGGTGTTGGCTTAAACCACTCAGATTTGATAGTATTTCCAGAAAGCTTTGTTGTTGTTCACTTGCACTAACTCCTTGTGCTACTAAATGTCTGTCTTCAGGTACAGACATGAAATCGCACATGATGGTCAACGGATTTATATCTTGGGAGGTGGAACTTCCTGGACGGCCTATTCATTAGATAAGGTAAGGCCAACGGAAACGTTGGGTGCTTGGTTGGATGGGGGTTTTCTACAGCAAAGCGTAACCAGCAGTCTCTTCATCTGGCTTTGTCAGGGGAGCTTGATAAGAAGTAAGATAACTAGGAGCAGAATGTTCTCCTATTTCTGTTTTTTTTTTGTTTTTTTTTTTTAAAAAAGAAGAAGAAGAAGAAGAAGTTGTTACCACCAACATGTCCTGTTTTGACATACAAATGACAAATCTGTGGTACCTGGTCAGCACACTGATCTGCAGAATAGCTTCATTTCTGCAGATCTGTTATCACAGATTCTCATTTTAAAATATTTAGGACATATTTTAGACATATATTTCAGTATGAGGAAGGAATATCTAAATCCAGAGGACTGGAGGGTGTGGGGTTTGACCAACCTGTTTTTTGTGTGTGTTTTTCTTGTTCTTTTTCCTCGGCTCTGGGGCTCAAGTAACAAAAGATGAAAGCTTTAGTAAGCCAGTACATTCTAAAAGTGTTTTTGTACCTGCTTAGTCACTGACTGTGATTAGCTATTTTTTTCTTTTCCAGTTAGTAAAAAAGAGGTGTTATTTATAGTGGCTCCCTTGGTCAGTGTCTAGTCTTGTCACCTCTATAGCTGCGTCATCACAGTGCTGTGAGAGCCAAGAGGACTAATAGCTCCTCTTTGTCCCTTCAGATCCACGCGTACAACCTTGAAACCAACACCTGGGAGGAAATTGCCACGAAGCCTCATGAAAAAGTCGGTGAGTCTGGAGTTTCATGCATCATCTCTGGTGAATCAGAGAGTGGGCAAGATGCTTGAATGCTGTCCACTGGCAGTCTGAAAGCCTTTTTGGTAACCCTGTTGTATGGTACGTCATCTGCGCTGGCTTCAGAACCCTGCTTGTTTGTAGCCTTAGCAGTGAGAACTTACCCTCAGACAGTGTATTTAGTGGTCTGGCATCCCTCCCACCCTGAACTGGCAGGATGGCAGTGGCCAGCTCTCCCCACAGAAAGTGCGCGTCTCTCTCGCTTCCTTGCTCCCTCTGAGCCACCAAATGCTGGCCTGGTTAGCAGTGGGCTTCTCCCTGAAACCTTGTAAGCTCATGGCCGCTGCTTTTCACCGGGCCAGAGGTGAGAGCTTGAGTCTGTGGGGAAATGTCATTCTGGTGAGCAAATAAGAGCCAAACCTTTTAAAACAGCTCGTTGCTAAATTAGAGATGTGACTGTCGGAAAGCAGAACCCCTTAAAAATGAAGCAAATGACTCCCATCCATGATTCAGCTATGATCACCACTTCCCCATGCACTCTAAAAGCAATTATAGCCAATACATTTTTCTTTTCCTTCTCAGGCTTCCCAGCAGCCAGAAGATGCCACAGTTGCGTTCAGATAAAAAATGGTAAGATCTGCCTCTTGAAACCTGGTATGTCTCGATACGCACCTAGCAATGACAGCCCCGTCTTTCTAGCCTGAGAGATTCCAGTTGACTGCAGGGCACACCATTTCTGAATTTTTCTGGAAAGGATTTCTTTCTTGTTAACTGTCCTTAAACTGCCCAGTTGGCACCAGCCTTCATAGGAGGGATGTGTCTTCTTGCTGCTCTAGGCAAATTTACTTCTGAAATGCCCAGTACTGTTGCTTTCAGGAATTCTGCACCATTTTACGCTTCAGCTAATCTTCAGCCATCTGCTTCAAGCTAATGAACCGGTATGAATGGTGCTTCTGCTGTAGCTCTGTCACTAACCTGTCAGTTTTATGTCTGCGGTGAAAAGCAAGGCGAGGCCAAGTCCTGGAAACTGAATTCTTTAGCGACAAGGTTATTTAGTGCTTTCTGTAATAGACTGTCCTTTTCATGGTGGTGTAAATCTGAGATCTGCATATGGAGTGGATCATGAGGGTGTAGCAGAGTTAGAACTTGTAAACATTGCCTAGTAAACTGAGGGCTGGTTTTTTTGTGCTAGGAGCTGCACGGAGCTTAGTAGAGCCTCTTATTCTTCTCTTTGATCCTCCAAATGCTCTTGCTGCACATCACTTACATGGCTCTGTTTAAAGTGCAGCTTAGAGAGGACTGTGCACATAAAATCCATATTTGATTGTCCACATTTTGAACATTCTTCAGATAAGTTTGGATCTAAGAGCTCATTCCCCCAAACTTGGTAAATAACATTGTTCATAATGGTCTGAATAAGTAGTAGCAATAGTGACTCTTCTTTTCAAATCCGTCTTCAGATCTGTTATGGAATGCTGTATGTTCATAATACCTGTAGCCCTCATGTACGCGATCATTTAACTGACATCTCCTTTGGGCATCATAAACATGATCATAATAATAACAACGGGCACCAGCATCTCCATTTTCCATAGCAGAATTAGCTTCTGTTAAAAAGGATTGGGAGGAAGAGCCATATTCTCTAGGGACATCAGCTAAACTTCTTGCAAGATAGGAAGGTGCAGAGAGTCTGTTGCTTTCACGTCTCATTATTGCATGAGGTGGCCTCATGAATTAGAACTGGAGTTCTAAGGAAACTCTGGTTTCTGGAAACAGTTCCATCCCCACCAGAAGCATATACAGAAGAACTTGAGTCAGGAGGACAGATGTCAGTTGGTCTTGCAATGGTTGGACCATGATGGATAAATGAAGGCATCAGATTGCGAAGCAGCGGGCTCATCTTCTTCACGTCCTTGCCCAGCACCTCGCCTGGCTTGGAGAGCTCTGTGCGCGTTTTCCACGACAGCATCCCACCTCCCAGCCCCCTGCCGCCCCGGACAGATGTCAGTTGGTCTTGCAATGGTTGGACCATGATGGATAAATGAAGGCATCAGATTGCGAAGCAGCGGGCTCATCTTCTTCACGTCCTTGCCCAGCACCTCGCCTGGCTTGGAGAGCTCTGTGCGCGTTTTCCACGACAGCATCCCACCTCCCGGCCCACTGCCGCCCCTGCCACCGGGGCTGCGACCGCATGCCCGGCACCGTCCGCCCCCCCCCCG